TCGCTGACAAGTCCCAGAAGGTTAAAACAACTAAACTGATATTGAGCTGTTGAAAACTAATATTCTCTTTTATGTATTTTGTACAATTCTTCTAACTTTAACACGAAACAATGAAACAAGGGCAACATGTGTTCCGGAAGGGTAGAACACACAGAATCAGAATAACGTGTTCAATATACAACGACACTAGGAACCAAAGGACAAAACAACAGAATTCGAACGGATAACAAGCATCCTTATCCTATCAAGCGACGAGGTGGCATAAACACAAAACAAAATTCTACAACACGACAAGAAGAGACATCAACGCTACAGTAGAGACAACAGCAGAATAATAGGGCATATTAACATGGCCGAAAATAACGAGGAGACATCCAAACGAAAAGCAATTATTTGAATTTCTGAAGCCATAACCACCAAAGGGAGGACAGCAAAAAGCACTGAGAGAATATTAGATGAGACATACAGATGGAAGGAGAGGACATATTAAATAGAAATCAGTCCGAATGAGAGGCAAACCAGGAACCGATGGGACATATTCCATACCCAAAAGAGATTAAAAGCAAGAATCAAGGGCACATTTATTCTAATAAAAAATAAACACGAGTCGGTGGCACATTGATGGAAGTGAAAAACAACCACGAGTCAAGGGCACATATATTTCAAAGAGAAACTACCAGAAGTCGAGGTCAAGACAACCCAAGAGAAAGACCATCAGAGCCATAGGGCACATACAATATGAACAGAAAACACCGAGAGCCGAGGACACATATGCCCCATACACACCAAGAGTGGAAGAACACATACAATATGACGAGAAAACACCAAGAGTCCTCTTGACAGCTTCGCCTACCTGACCATCTTCCTGGTCGAGCTCAGACAAGGACGCTTACCAATTACTAGGATACAAATGCAAACCTTATCCCTAGTGGAGCAAAGTCAAGGGCAGTTTAGTACCAACAAAGCTTACAATACAAACCTTATCCCTAGTGGAGCTTAGACAAGGATATTTAGAACCAACGAAGCTTACAATACAAACCTTATCCCTAGTGGAGCTTAGACAAGGACAGTTAGAACCAACGAAGCTTACAATACAAACCTTATCCCTAGTGGAGCTTAGACAAGGACAGTTAGTACCAACGAAGCTTACAATACAAACCTTATCCCTAGTGGAGCTTAGACAAGGACAATTAGAACCAACGAAGCTTACAATACAAACCTTATCCCTAGTGGAGCTTAGACAAGGACAGTTAGAACCAACGAAGCTTACAATACAAACCTTATCCCTAGTGGAGCTTAGACAAGGACAGTTAGTACCAACGAACCTTATCCCTAGAGGAACTCAGACAAGGGTAGTGTTTATCAATGTTTATAGAATAAGCTGTGTTACAGATTACACTATATGATACATCTGTTTCGACTTTCGGTGACAGGTAAAGCATAATTTAGGAGGACAGGGAATGTTCGATTTCTCACTTCTGGTTCCTTATATCAATACCGACTTAATCCATTTATGTAATATTGATGTTTATATCTGACATTCCTATATCAACAGTCTTACTTATGTCATTATTTCATGCCAATGATTAATCTATATTTCCTTGATAACTGTTTACCTCACTATTTACTGAGATAGGTAAACAACAAGTAAATACAGACATGCTTACACAATTGTTACAAAAAAGCGAGGATGAACTATGAACACGAAAAAGATTCATAAGGAAAGCCTTGAAATGTTCATAGAGAATAAAACCAGGGGTTTTGGTAGGGAAAGTGTCTTCTACTTCATTAATAACACCAATGTAACGCCATGGTGTCAATCTACGCACGTGCATCAAACACAGGATGACGATATCGCTCGAGTTAATATTTCTAAAACGTTCATGATGGCGACCAGGAACCTTTCCCACAAGCCTCAAAATGATAAGGTTTATCAAAGTTAGAAAGACAATTGTTTATAGCGGATGCCTGGAGGATTAATTCAGAGGGAGTTGTAGAGGTTATGATATCATCTACATTATAAATACATCAACGTGAAAACTTTGTAAGCTCATCTCCGTCACGTGGGTACCGTTCTGAGAAAAGTTCACGAACTGTGGTTGGGGGAAAAGCTTCGGGCAAGAAGTGACAAAAACGGAGCCGTATGACGTCCTTGGCCTGGTTCTATTACAGACATGACTTCAGCATACATAAAGAGATAACAATAACACCGCAAAAACCAAATACAAACTACAGATCAACACCAGGGGACAGGTAGTCTCCAGTAGTTCGCAATATCACTAAAACGATACACTCACGTGTAGAGCGTTAAGTTAAATCTCACCAGTGAGGGTTTTATTAAATTACCAGTATCAACATTCTGTCTTGTTAAAGAGTGAACTGAACGATCAGGCAGCATGGATTTACTGAAAAAGATCAAGAAGAAAAATAATTTTATCTTTAAACAACAAAGAATCAAACAGTCACTTTACATTACAAACTAGGGAAACTTTCGGACTTATTATCTGAGGAAAGGTCGAATGGCTGTAGTACCGTCTGTAAAACCTACCCAGTCTGTATTTTTTAGGGGGGTTAAAAGAATAATAGATGTCGGAGACCTGTCTGCTCGAGTGCTTCATCACGTGCTTATTATACATACAGTGGCTGTCATATTTTTAGAAACTTACGCCACACCTCATACAGAAGTATAGGATATGTATTTGAAATAATTTGAGAATTATCGATTTAAAGATATATAAGGAGATACTTTAGACAAAATCATCCATTGTATACTTACGTTTACAGCTATTGGTAAACGTTTGGGAGTAACTTATGTTAATCGAAATAAACGGAAGTATATCAACGTAATATCATATTCGTTAGTTAATGTGATAAGTGCTATAATTATGATAAATCGTGCCTCTTTCGCCACCACTTTGTTGGACTGGTGCCATGTATTACCGTGTGCTCGGCAGGTGTATATATTTATATACTGGTTACTTTCTAGTTACAAGAAATTAGTCGATTCTTACCTGTATGTTCCTGGTAACCGTTGTCTGGGGATAGAGGAAGTGATGAATTGTAGGTATTGAGCATTATTAAATGAAAAAAATGACCAGTTAAGACAATTTATTGATGTTAGAGCAAACACGGATAAAAGAACATTTATTTACACTACACCTTTTGATCGGTGATAATTCTTATTACCGGATAGTCAGAACAGGTATTGATCTAAATATATCGAAACAGAAAGGGATTTTAAATAACAGGAACTATATGAGGCATTTGCACCCATAATAATTACATAGTTATATAAATATATTTATATTATATGGTCAAATACTCTGTCAACATCAATCCATAGTTTTACTTTAGCCTTTAAGTAAGAGTTATCTTTGGCAACACTGGGTGAATTCCCTCAATGTACCCGAGTCTATATCTTACCAACTGGATATTTCCACGCTGAAAATTTGACGCACAGATAATCTATATAGATATGGCCAGTGCACTATGATATTCAGAAGTGGAGTTACACAGAAATATATATGTTCCTGGTAAATCATAATCCAAACTTAAGTACAATAAAACAAGGACAAAATTAGGACATATTGTGATTTTTCAAAGTTTGCAATTCGGTATATTATTAGTGAGGATGCAAGAAAGTCGCCAAACTAGAACTGCGACTGAGTTCACCAATGATTTCAGACACATATCTCAAAAACAGGTTATTAACGTTGTAGACAGATTAGTGCTACACTATCTAAAAGAAAAGAAGTTTAATGGTCATTTACATATAGGGATCTAAGTTATTCTTTCAAAATCAATATTCATTAAGAAAAAACTCATCAACTGCATCAGATAGTCATTAATTATTTACTTACTGACACCATTCAGTTGACTAATCTGAAATGCTTACGATAGATGTTGCAGAGTGAAGCCATTGTAGAATGGTTATATTGGTTATATGTAAATTAATCCCTGTTTTCTACTCCACTGGACACCATTTGTCATACTGACCGTTTATACAGTACACCGTTACAGTGTCGGTAAGACCAGGACCAAGTCATTACCCCTGTAACGCAATTAAGAGAGATTATTTAACTTTCGAGTATTTATTTAAAGTGTATTTCTATAATCGATGGGTTTTCAATCATCAAAATATCGGTTGTTTTGATTGTAAAACACCCATTCGTTCAGCTGTTACAAACAGGTAGTAAAATGTGTAATTACGTATCAGCTGACGTATGATAGCTTTAACTGGTGATATCAATAAACAGTGCTCGTTTCCAAGCGAGGCTTTCAATGCCTTGTGCTTTAACAATGGTCCCATATCCGATACTGATGCAACTGGTTCCCTCGACAGCTTATCAGGGCGTGTCCTGGGACAGTCATTATGTAATATATAGGGTCAATATGACATAAACAAACAATTGTAACTAGAAAATTTACGAAACTTATTGAATTTTGGGTTAACCTCACAAGTTTTATAAAAGTTTGTTTCTTTTTGAGATTTTCCTGGCTCGCTTTCCAGGCTTCCAATCATTAAACCCTTACTGCAACCTAAATGACGAGTCCTAGAAGGACGGAACAGCTGTATTAAGGTAACGAAATATTTCACAATCATAATTTGGCTCGTGGTATCTAACACTGTTTTGTATTGAATGAGGCTATTCACTGGTATATGTTCAAACTTAACTTCTAAGCATTTGTCCTTATTATACGTGCACAGAACAATATTTCACTCTAACAGGAACAATATTGAATATCACAAATCAATGGCGACAGTTTGTATAAGACATATTGTATGCATCTTTTTATACAAAATCATATGTATCTAAAAAAAACCGCTTTATAAACATACTCGAAATTAAATGTTAAATTTGATAGAATGGATGATATTAATGCTTCCTTATTAACACCAACATGTGATAATCAACCTTTAAAATTAGCAGTCTTCGTTACATAGTTAGAAGATTAATGAGGGTTACACTATACAGTATAATAAAACTGCTTTAGAAAAAATGGCACTGCTTGATATCCATGATCACTATGATAGGTATTAAATAAATCACATTTACAAATCAACAACTCATTTCGAATGTTTATTTACACGCATTATATTCCTCCATCTTTGCCCTCTTCAGAGACCACAACGAAAATACACACATGTCAACAGAATCTGTATTCAGAAATTAAATTTTAGGATAACATATGAACAAAAGATTTACAAGGAAATACATTAAAAGCACAATGAGCGAAAGACCATGTAATCCGGAATAGTAAGCGTCTTCTGCTTCATCGACGCTATCTGCCCTGTTAATCAAGTTCAATTCTAGTAATGTCACGTTCCCAAATGAGAACAAGGTAAACAACAACGGAACCACCAGGCACACTTACGAGCTTCAAACACACATTGGCCTTAAAACGACACACAAGTGAATAGCATGTTTTAATGATTTACAGTTAGATAGAGTAGAGACAAACAATTTAAGATGTAGATGACATTGAAATGATTCTTCAGCAAAATATATCACTGAAGGAAAAGAAAAAAAATGAATGTATGAATGAGATAGTAAACAATGAAAAAGTCAAAGTACGTTAGTCTAGTTTGTGTGTATTGAGATTCTTTCAAACGGATTTCAATGATTTCTGTGATAGCAGACAGCGAAAAACCTAACAACACACAGACCGGATTTGGAATTCTTCGGGTCTATATAGACAATGGACAGGTTTGATAATGCCTATCATGATGCATACCAAAGACACACAAGTTGCTAACACCTTTCAAATATCTAGAATTAGATACAGTACAGGCAAATGATTAACTGAACTGCATCATTCAGGTGTTTCATTCTTGTAGGACTCGTCAACAAATTTCATTGTTTTAATATTTAATCAGTTTAAAAACATCAAGTTCATAAATTGTAGAATTATACTTTTGATCAACATGTTCATTGCTATTCATGATTATAAAAAAGGTGTTAGATGTGAAGTGTAGTAATATGAATCAGATATATCTAATAACAACACACTTACAATAATTACTCATTTTAGTAATTACAAAATTGTATGATGTCAACATTTCAAAAAGTTTATTATTCATAGTTATATCACTAGAAGCCACGTGGAGACAATTTGTGACGTCCTGTTGGTCAGTATGCTGACCTGCTGACAATTGCTATCCAATACAAGCCCGTTAACACTATATTTGACATAAACCGGAATTGTCTGGTCATGTACCCTTGTTATTTTTAACTCCTCGTTTCCGTCAACGAGCTGACACGTAAATATTTTTCACAGTATGTGTGTATGTATGTATCTATGTGTGTGTGTATCTATGTGTGTATCAGATCTGATGAAATGTTTTCATACGTATCGTTATCTGTGTATGCACTGTGTATTGCGTCGTTAGCGAGCTCTGATACGAGTACGTGACTTTTTGTTTACCAGAGCAGCAGTTTACTAGGTCAAGGGACCATTCTTATCTTAATCCTCTCTACCCCCAGCCGCAAAACAGAAAGGCTAATTGTTGTTACAGTTAAATTGATTCGGTTTCAAATCTTTTTTCTCGTTAATCAAATATATAGTATGACACTTAATGTCAAAGACACTAATACGTCCATCAATATCGAATTACACGATCAAATAAACCTGCAACTTGATAAATGTGGGACAATCCTGATCAATGTATTATTGCTTTTCGGCATCGCAAACTCATGTTTTGAAATTAAAAAGACAGACCTGCTCGATAATTTGATAAAGGTCTCAAAATACTAAACTGATCTGAAAAAAAAGATAAGAAAACAAAGAGATTAGCACAAAAATCAGTATAGTTTTTTCTTTCTCACACAACCGTACAGTAAGACTCTAAGGTGTTGTAGGAACAATGTGTTATCAAAGGGTTCAGTAAAGTCTACACAGGTATACTGAGCTAGTCAAGCAGTGAAGCTTTCTAGAAGGATTCAATGACAAAAATGACAATTAATACTGGATTAGTTGACTAATTAATATTTAAGTAGTGAGTAAGTAAGTAAGGTAGATCGGATAATTCAGTAAATGTAAGCCTTAAGTATGTGTATAAAACATCAAAGCTCGGCTTAGCTGAAAGTGATGATTAAGTGAACCGGTTACATCGTGACGACTTAACCACTTTCCTTTTTTTGAAAAAAAGTGACACTGGGAATGTCAATTTGACTTCAGTCTTTAATTGTAATTTAACGATTAAAAACATAGAGAATTATTTTCTAATTCCCTTTGTTTGACTATGATGTTACAACATGAAAGTATTAACATGCTAACTGACTCGAAATCGAGATAAAGAGGGCAAAATTCTGCTTCACCCGTAATGTAAATCTAGGTCAACCCAAATAAACAATGTGTCTTTCTTGAATCAGAACATGGTAAAAAAACAAGAAAAACTCCATGAATACTCACAAGTATGAAAAACACTAGGAACTAAAATATCCAAATGAGACTATAAAATTTCCAAATAGTCTTCAAGGAACTGAAACTTAGAATCAATTTTCTTCTCCTTTCGGGGAAAGACAAATGAAATATTTACTGGCTGAATTACAAAATAACTTCTTAGTAAACAATTGTAATCATAGATAGCAACGAGTTGTATTTCTTATTTGGTGTTAAATACAATGTAGGTGAAAATGTTTTCAAAATACACCATCTTAAATCTATCGCACAATATTTAATATTCTGTATATAAGTCTTTACCGGAAGAATATGGCAAACTCTTTTCGCTTGTTTATTACAAACCATGTGCAGGAATTGTGTTTGATTGTCAGCAGTTAGCTGTTTAACTCTCAAATTTAACCATTGGTGATTTTACATCAGAATTAAAGCTTAATAGTTAATTTTTAAAGTCAACTGCACAGTTTCTGTTATGCATGAAATCTAACGAATTTCCCAGTAACAGAATGTCTAGCTTTTGGCAACTTATCATGTATTTATATGAAAATTACAACTTTTCTTGTCTTTAAACAAATCTGACAAGATTTCCAGTATTTAAAAAAATGCCATATGTTGATGGATATGGAGGTGTCTTCAATGCATTATTTTCGCTTTGGATTTACTTCGGTCGCCTTTTAGGCTACGAAACTGAAGTCCTTAGCATCACTGACGAGTCCTAGAAGGACGAGATAGATGTATGATGCAGCATCACTGACGAGTCCTAGAAGGACGAAATAGATGTATGATGTAGCATCACTGACGAGTCCTAGAAGGACGAAATAGATGTATGATGTAGCATCACTGACAAGTCCTAGAAGGACTAAATATATGTATGATGCAGTTGAATCCATTGCTTGGTTCTATTGTATCTAATTCTAAATCTGGATGTATTAAATATTTTTTAATAATGTTAAATGTTTTTTTTTAAATATGTTGTTTTTCTTTTTTTTATTTTGTCTCGGGTAGTTTAAGACGGGTTTGTATTTTGTTTCTGGTAGTTTTAGAAGGTTTATGTATCTAGTTTCTGGTAGTTTTAAAAGGTTTTTGTATTTTGTTTGTGGTAGTTTTAGCATGTTTTTGTATTTTGTTTGTGGTAGTTTTAGCATGTTTTTGTATTTTGTTTGTGGTAGTTTTAGCATGTTTTTGTATTTTGTTTGTGGTAGTTTTAGATGCTTCTGGAAAATTAAATGCAGTTTTTGAGTATACCGTTTTACGTCCATCCTTTCACCATCAACTTCGTCAGTGTTCACGCCTCCTAGCTAATTCGCGCGCAAGTAGAAATGAGATAAATTTAACGCACGTCTTTAGTTCAGAAATATCCTAACATGTAGTTGCACACGCGACATGCGCTGGGTGTATTCTATCTACATGTGTTCTTTCTTAATTATTTGTTTGTTTATTTGAACGTGATACAAAACCTACCTGTTGTTTATTTTGAATCAGATTCTAATTGTGGTTCATATCTGGTTATGTCAGTAACATTGGATAGACTCTGGTCTACGTATTGTGTACATATAATAGATCTGGCTGTGTTGACGGGTAGTGTACGGGTAGTCTGTTTATAGGATGACTAGGCATGGTATTGTTATTCTATGAATTAATATTTGTGATTTGTGAAACTCTTCTGCTGTAGTGAAATTGACCATTTGAAAGTTCCGGACCTATCGAGACACAGGTGATGAGTATGACGATTTGACACACTGTCACCTGTCACCGTGATGGATAGACTAGTACTGGTAAGGTCGAAATAGATTTTACTGCGCAGTTTTATAAAACATCGCGGTACACATAAATATACACACGTATATTACTATAACGGTTCCATATCATGAATCTCTTGGTGAAACGAGTGCGTTATGACAATGATGTGCAGGGATGTGTATACTATGATACCGACATCTAGATGCTCCTCTTTAACTGTAAATTTTTCTTTGTCACTTTTCAATCCAATAGATTTAAAGTGGGTTGGCGTTTCAGTGTTATTTTCCTGCCATTTTTCATCATGAAGAATTATGAAAATTAAAAAAAAGAACATGATGCACAATATCAATCATTGAAATAAAAGGAGTAGATGGTCGGTGATAGGCCCTGGATGTGTATCTGTGTTACAAGGACACCTGTACGGTGACAGACATGAAAAATGGGTCTGGGCAGCGCCAGAACAGAAATCAGTGTGTACCACGACCCACAAGTATAGACTACCTGACTTTTATATTAACTGCATATAATAACTGTGGAGTCGTAATGCATGTCAAAAGTAATATATATTCTTCTAACTACTAGGCCATACATTAACTGTTGTGCAATATAAGGAGGATTATTAAGGTCACTAATATCTTATCACAACATTTACATTTGTGATTCTATGACGAAATATAATGATCTAATATTTTGAAAACCAAACTAACATATTGTGTGAAGGAATGATAGCAAGCACTTGAAACAATAATTAATTAATTTGGTGAGAGTTTTCCCCTGTTAGCCTCGATTTAAATGACCCAGCGATACAATCTCGTGTGTATGATATTGCAGTGATATAACTCGCGATGTATTGTCATATATATAGGCCACACAACAAAGGAATTAGAGATTAATTTAACAGGATCTAGTATTTAACGTTCGTTAACCTGTTCAAATGACGCATACACTTATTGTTGCCAGAGGGAAGATATATAGACATCAATGTTGGTGTCATTTTGTAACATGATGAGGTTACGTTAAAGCTCTGATAAACGACATTAGTAATAATAACGTATATACAACGGGTAGAGTGTGGGCGATCTCATTGTCCTGTCATAGCGGGTAGAATAAGGTGATCTTTTTGTCCTCACAAAGCAACACCTCCAGACTGGCAGGTCAACGTGCTTATAGATGTTTTTGTGTATTGCAGTTGTGTATTATGACTTTTAAAGTGATTTAGGTGACTATATCGTGTCGTTTCTATTTTTGACCCAGTAACCATACAAAGCCCGAGTGTATATATTAAGTGTATGCTAATTATTCACAAGGCGTTACTTCCTATTGCCTGTGTGTATTGGTCGTCTCGCTCTGTTTAGGTACTGTATGGGAGCTCATTTGAATAAAGCCCACGGGGTCACTGGCTCGTGCAACTGGTGAATATATATATAAACTTCGAAATCTGGATCACGAAATCAGTTCTGAAAGTAAACACCGAGCAGTTAAATGATCGACAGATATAAAAAGTAAGTAGATAGTGTTACACCTGGTCTTGTTGATATTTTGTTCATCGTGTACCTTGGTAATGGAAAACCCTAGATCTTTGGAACGCTTCTATTTATAGCGCTGGTGCAACGTCTATCAGGTGATTGAAGGCAGGTAAGCAATATACATATATGATAGGCGATGGAAATACTTTTCACAGAAATGAACGAGGAATACGGAAAATCCAGCAGTTATATTGATATACTTTTGTTTCATGACGTTGTTTAAACGTCGGAACAAAATTACATTAGAATAGCTAGGTACCTTTTATACTTTAATTTACTACAACGTAGAACGATCTAGCAGGTCACGAATGGTAGTAAACGTGGTAACCAATCAAAACATAACCTGCACCGCTCACGCGCACACGTCTGCGGTGATTGGCCAGACATGATTTAAGAGTCACACGTAGTGTAATTGGTAGTAATTCTGGTGACAGTCACACTTACTGCATCGGTGATGAGACAGGTAAACGTCTTCTTCCTTTTTTTTACTTATTTTTTCATTAGTTGAAGCAACTTTACAAAACATGATTGTCAGTCGTTTATATGGGGAAGTATCATAATATGTCGTTAGATATTTCATAAATGTTACTGATTTTGTACATGTATATATCATGATGATTCAGATCCCTTGCATAGTACTCAAACACACGTGTGTTAGAAATATAGCACTAAACCAGACGACTACTGTTCGCAGACTCATGATGTCCCATGTGTGTTTTGAATTGGGCGTTGTCACTTGCTGTGGTCACTTAGTCATTGTACAGATGTTTACTTTTGAGTTACTCATTTCAGCTGTAATGTGACATTACTGCCATCACAGTCTACCACAGGTGGGATGTTCCCGAGTCATACTTCAGAAAATTTCAGAAAATAATTTGATGACATGTAGAAAAGATGTTAGATATTAAAATGCCATGGATGATACCATTAAAGGACAAATCAACAATTATAACAGGGATTCTAGCCGAGGTTGACAATTAGTTTCAATGTCACGTACTTTTAGATAAACATTGTCGATATGCAATAGGCAGTCTATATGCATAACATTCCTAGAAATATCTCTATCTTATCACAGCTTGTCCAAATTGGTTGAGGTGTTACGTGCTGGATATAACGGTACAATGTATATATATACTGCCCAGTGATTATTCACAATAGATTTTCTCAAACAACATGTACATGGACCTATTTAAGCTTATATAGTACTCGAAAAACTTGAACGTGGACCTATTTTAAACTGCGGTTGACTTCCTCTTCTCGATAAGTCGATGATATCGTTTTGCCTTCAATGTGATTTGTGTTTTGTTGTTGGTTCTGTGTGATGTATGTAAAGTGGTGCTTGTCAGAGTCACCTGAATACTGAGACGGACTCTAATGTTACGCTTATCATAAATTGTTATTTTATTTTAAACGATTATATCTTCCCTTACATTTTTTAAAAATGTTATTGATATCTCATATTTGTGAATATTTATAAGAAAACAAACAATTTGTTGCAATATATACATTTCGACAAAATGGTGTGTTTATTACCACTTTAAATCCAGGTAATGATTTGGAATGCAGTAAACACCAAACAAAGACCGACACATTAACAAAATCTTAATCAAAACTCAAATTAAATGAAATTAGGACAAAACATCATTTGTCACAATAAAAATTGATAATAATTATAATAAAAGACTATAGTTTTAACTTTACAGCTGTCTTCATTTCATGACCATGATTGTAGAACTTGGTAACTAGCTTCTTAAAGCACATATTTTTACTGTTCAGTTCAGTTATGGCTTTAGACTACATTTTAAAGAAACACAGCTATGTTTAAGACTACATATTTTTCTGTGCTATGTTTAAGACTACATATTTTTCTGTGCTATGTTTAAGACTACATATTTTTCTGTGCTATGTTTAAGACTACATATTTTTCTGTGCTATGCTTAAGACTACATATTTTTCTGTGCTATGTTTAAGACTACATATTTTTCTGTGCTATGTTTAAGACTACATATTTTTCTATACTATCCTAAAGACTACATAATTATTATTGCTAGATTAAATACTACCGATTCTTTTCGCTGTTATAGTGTACACATCAGACTTTTGCTGTAAATGTTACCTTTGTGGAAAAGACAGATGCATTTATCATATTGAAAACTCTGACTTAATGCTATTTTCTGAACACAGATTTTTTTAAAACGTTTAAGTTACAACAAGGGATCTGTCATTATGAGCAAGTTAATACTGTTCCTAAAGGTTTCAGTGATTTGTAAGGGTCTTCGCCAGGGCCTTTATCTGTTTTATCGTTTGTATTTTTGAGAGTCAGGATTTTAACTTATCTGATGTCCGAGACTTTCATACTTGCTTCTACAGCATAACGTGACTTTCAAACAAAAGATTAAAATTCAAAATGATCTATTTGAAGTAAACATGTCTAAAACATTTATGTATAGGTTACGTCAGTTTGTCAACAAGCCCCATTTCATCAGGAAATATTAGTATTTCAGAATGCTTACTCACTTAGTTCACATCTATGCTATTTTTATATACCTAAATATCCGTGAAAGCTTTCGACATTCGTTATAACATTTAATTTTTCCTTACATGGTCTTTGAGAATAAGAACATCTTTACTTTTTCAGAATCACGCCGCCATGGATTGCCCCACGTGGATAAAACAGGAACCCCATTCTCCTCTCAAAAAGACCTTTCGCGATGCAAGCTCGCCTTTTTCTACTGCTCCGGACATACCAGTGGGAGACGACCATTTAAGTCCGGCTCCTTCAGAGCCCATGACCAGCGGTCTACTACTTCCTCTGATAAAGGATGAACTCAGATATACTATACTAAATCGCCGATTTGCCAAAGGACAAGCCGACATTGTTTTAAAGGATCCACCTAAACCCAAACTTAAACAGGTAACATTGAAGTCAATTATTTATTTAGGGTGAGATATGTCATGTTAATACATCAACCATTTTTCAACAAAGATTTAGCATTATCTGTTTAGTATAAAGATTATTGTCAGCTTGAATTTGGTGAAAAATTATGTTTTTTATTTTTGAATTCATGGCATCAGAAAACATGCCGATATATGTATCTTTGGATTAATATTCAAGTAGATAAAATTTATGTTTTACAAGGAACTGACAGCGGCTGAACTGGAACGAAAGTCACGTCGACGGGAACAGAACAGGCGAGCTGCCACAAAATGTCGGATCAAGAAGAAAGGCGTCGAGGACAGTCTGATCACAGTGAGTATACCACAACGTGTCCTGACATCAATGGGTACACCATAACGTGTCCTGACATCAGTGTGTATACATAACGTGTCCTGACATCAGTGTGTATACATAACGTGTCCTGACATCAGTGTGTTTACATAACGCGTCCTGACATCAATGGGTACACCATAACGTGTCCGGCATCAGTGTGTATACATAACGTGTCCTGACATCAGTGTGTTTACATAACGTGTCCTGACATAAGTGTGTATACATAACGTGTCCTGACACCAGTGTGTATACATAACGTGTCCTGACATAAGTGGGTATACATAACGTGTCCTGACATCAGTGTGTATACATAACGTGTCCTGACATCAGTGTGTATACATAACGTGTCCTGACATCAGTGTGTGTATACATAACGTGTCCTGACATCAGTGTGTTTACATAACGTGTCCTGACATCAATGGGCACACCATAACGTGTCCTGACATCAGTGTGTATACATAACGTGTCCTGACATCAGTGTGTATACATAACGTGTCCTGACATCAGTGTGTATACATAACGTGTCCTGACATCAGTGTGTTTACATAACGTGTCCCGACATCAATGGGTACACCATAACGTGTCCTGACATCTGTGTGTATACATAACGTGTCCTGACATCAGAGTGTTTACGTAACGTGTCCTGACATCAATGGGTACACCATAACGTGTCCTGACATCAGTGTGTATACATAACGTGTCCTGACATCAACGGGTACACCATAACCTGTCCTGACATCAGAGAGTGATGTCAGGAGTGTCCTCACTCCATTTACTTGTACACTGGATTAAATTAAAAGATTTGTACAACTAGGTTAAAAACATTAGGTATTTTAACACCTTATGCTGATATATCTGCTTTAAATACAGACACTTCTTTCGTTTTAGACTTTCTACAAAGAACAAGAGAAGAACACCAGTCTTAACGATCAGATTAATAATCTTAGATCTGAGAAAGCAATGTTGGAGAAGGTTTTGGAAGAACACTTGAGTTCTCGTGAGTGCACCATACCTCCTCTGCGCGACACTTCGTACACACCACCACTTTCTGCGCAACCTCCCGCAGTCTGCTGTGACTCAAACGCCGGAAGTGCGACATCTCCTAGTTTGTATGGAGGAGACATGTTTACGTTTGACATTGAAAGCAACAAGACAAACACCATGACGTCAGTTCCGTGTCCGTCCTTCATAAATCAGACACCTGGTCAGTGCAGCGGATATCCGCAGTCTTCTGACATGTTTGTTCGCAGCCAGGGTCCAATACATGAGCCAATAACACCACCAGCAGAAAACACATCATATGGCAGAGAGTTCGACTGGGCTGAGGACTACCTCAACATAACTGAGTTACTGAGTGGTGACCTTCCGCCAGAGATCCCGGTCCTCAATTCAGATGATCTCAACAATTTACCACCACCAGACCCATAGGCTATCTTCATACTAATTCATTTGTTGTCTTATATTTGGAGATTTTGTTAAACGAATATGTCGTCTTTCTCCACATTTTCTTTTAAGTCGATTTTTACCCAAACTGAGTGTTATTCTCTACTTAATGAACTTTTGTCTCTGAGGACCATCAACATCTATGACAGAAGTGAACAATTTATTTACCTTGTTCAGGTGAAGCGCTTCGAAGTTTGTGACCAAACTGGCACCAACGTGACCACCCGGTGATAATATGTTGCATTATGTGGCGGAGTGCAAATGTACTTACTGTAAATAATGGTGGAGAAAATATTTCATTTTCATTATACATTAATATTGGAAAATGATCTGTGCAAACTCGGCGTTGATTCAGGGTTTTAAAGAGCCACGTGTTCGTTAGTGCGGGTAAGCCGAACCACCTTTACCTCATTACCACATTAAACAATGATATTGATTAAGAGGTGTGGACACGCTCGGACGCAGTAGGTTTTAGGCTGTGTTCTTAGTAGTCATGTGAAATTCTGATAAATTGAATGCATATTTCACGATCAGCAATAATTGGTATTTTGGTTGTGTTCAAAACCGTCGAATAGTGACAACTTGGTCTGTGCAGGATTCACTTGTGACACTCAGTTGAATTGTAGGATCTACACGGGACACTGTGCGGGTTGTATTGTAAGATCTGTACGTAAATGTGCTTGTTGATATAGGATCTACATATAACTATGTGTAGGTTGAAATGGACACTGTGTACGTTGAAGGACTACAGTATCCGTTTAAGGATATAAATGATCTCAGTTAGTTATTATTATTGTTGTTTTAACAGGAATCCCAATTCACCGGCAATGTTATTTTGTGGAACATACTGTACTAGTTATAGCCATGTCTTCTATAATTCAGTGTATTCGATATCCGAAATAACATTAACATTAACCATACTTACTGATAATTTGCATTATATTTTCATACCCCATTCCATATCAATCATGTCCATAGTTAACAATAGCGTACATTCTGGTTTTTACATTTCATACTTTTCCCTGCTGAACTGTTTCCTCACTTTGCTTAAGTTTTGTCTTTGCTTCGGCTTTCATGATCATTTATATATAAGGATGTAAATAAATTTCGTCTTTGTCCATACTTCTCTTTAAGCAAATTTTATTTTTGGAAATTTTAATAACATTTAATTTGTTCATACTTCGCTACTAAGATATTTAACCATTAGTCGATCAGTCTTCATATAAATATATATACTTTTATAGTGCTTTTGTGTTTAAGGCCATACACACCCTGACAAACATATTACGTTATCTATATCATAAAACGTATATTTTTCTCGTGCTAACAATTTCTTGTATGGGTGATACAAACCTGCAGTATGTAGCTAAAAGCTCTACCGCCACGAAAATTACTTTGGCCAGTTATCAAAGCCGGTGAATCGGGTTTCAAATACAGCTACACAGCATTCATTGTTTAGTTACGCGTATATGATCAATTGCCAGATTCCACCATCATTACCATGTAATAAAAAATTGTAAACCAAAGTTTGGGTTTCGTCAATTTCTATTTTTATAGTTGTATCTTACACTGTCTTACTATAACTGTACCTGATTTGGTAGGACTATGATTACGTGATTTTTTTGTACAATGATATTTTTATCTGAAATGAATTTTACGTATTATTTTAAAGATGATGGTTTACTCAGAAGATATTTTCTTTATTACGATTAAAATAAATCTTTGTTATGTACGACTGTATAAATTCAGAAACAAATAAAACATATATTACAGTTTGAATCCGTATCAGTTTTATAGTTTTAACATGTACCATATTTACAGTGTGAACATGTACCGGTTTACAGTGTGAACATGTACCGGTTTACAGTGTGAACATGTACCGGTTTACAGTGTGAACATGTACCATATTTACAGTTTGAACATGTACCATATTTACAGTGTGAACATGTACCATATTTACAGTTTGAACATGTACCATATTTACAGTTTGAACATGTACCATATTTACAGTTTGAACATGAACCGTATTTACAGTTTGAACATGTACCGTATTTACAGTTTGAACATGTACCATATTTACAGTTTGAACATGTACCGGTTTACAGTTTGAACATGTACCATATTTACAGTTTGAACATGTACCATATTTACAGTTTGAACATGTATCATATTTACAGTTTGAACATGTACCGGTTTACAGTTTGAACATGTACCATATTTACAGTTTGAACATGTACCATATTTACAGTTTGAACATGTACCATATTTACAGTTTGAACATGTACCGTAATTACAGTTTGAACATGTACCGTAATTACAGTTTGAACATGTACCATATTTACAGTTTGAACATGTACCGGTTTACAGTTTGAACATGTACCATATTTACAGTTTGAACATGAACCATATTTACAGTTTGAACATGAACCATATTTACAGTTTGAACATGTACCGTAATTACAGTTTGAACATGTACCGTAATTACAGTTTGAACATGTACCATATTTACAGTTTGAACATGTACCAGTTTACAGTTTGAACATGTACCATATTTACAGTTTGAACATGAACCATATTTACAGTTTGAACATGTACCATATTTACAGTTTGAACATGTACCATATTTACAGTTTGAACATGTACCGTATTTACAGTTTGAACATGTACCGTAATTACAGTTTGAACATGTACCGTAATTACAGTTTGAACATGAACCATATTTACAGTTTGAACATGTACCGTAATTACAGTTTGAACATGTACCGTAATTACATTTTGAACATGTACCATATTTACAGTTTGAACATGTACCGTATTTACAGTTTGAACATGTACCGTAATTACAGTTTGAACATGAACCATATTTACAGTTTGAACATGTACCGGTTTACAGTTTGAACATGTACCATATTTACAGTTTGAACATGTATCATATTTACGGTTTTAACATGTATCGTATTTACAGTGTGAACATGTACCGGTTTACAGTTTGAACATGTATCATATTTACAGTTTGAACATGAACCATATTTACAGTTTGAACATGTACCGTATTTACAGTTTGAACATGTACCGGTTTACAGTTTGAACATGTACCGTAATTACAGTTTGAACATGAACCAAATTTACAGTTTAAACATGTATCATATTTACAGTTTGAACATGAACCATATTTACAGTTTGAACATGTATCATATTTACAGTTTGAACATGTATCATATTTACAGTTTGAACATGTACCGGTTTACAGTTTGAACATGTACCATATTTTGAGTTTTAACCATTGATTGTTGTTGCTTCAGTACCGGTATTTAGAGTTCCATTCGTACTCAGATTCCCCATAAATAATTATATATAAATAATTGAAACTGATGAGAAAAATACCAATGATATGTGTGCTATGAAAGAAAAGCGGTACCATAAAAAATGTTGTGTTTGCACAGAGTTGGTCAGGCAATCTAGATTTTGCTGGCTGGTTTCACGCTGGCGTCAGAGGTATGCTTTCTGTTATTTCTGAAAAAAAAGATATGATACTCATCATTTGTATTTATAAATATTTATATTTATAAAATAGTATTTGTAGCTGAAAGTCTTTCTACATAGAAATGACGTAAGGGAGATAACCTGGGATCCTGGAGACCGCTACCACAAACTGCTCCAGATAGTCCTAGCGACCTCGTGGAAAATAGCAAAAATTAAATTGAAAGAACAGAAACAACCTTAGAAGCGAGTCTCTTTAAGCTTAATGTTAACTACAGTAACATCAACAGTGTACATTTTACCCCTAAGTATTGTGTTGTATTGTTCCCTATACTTTTGTACCTGGAGAAGAGATGATTATTTTACATGAGAATGTTTCATTAGTAATTCTTCGTTGTCTTGGGTTTTATTTGCTGTTTATTTAAGGATTTATGACATATACACTTGTATTTGATATACATATTGTTACGGTTTACCGAGGATGCACAGAGAAACACCTGCCGTTATTTAATTGTTATCGAATAGGCCTGAAAAAAAAATTGTAAACAATGCCGGCATCCCTAATAAGTGTTGAATAGAAATGTGTTACAAAATCGAATTGTATCATTCTTCAATCACGTAGCTGTTTCTCAGTTGTTCATGTTGATATACATATCTTTTGTGAACCCTTAGTAACAGTCCGATGATAGGCTCCTAACAGATACCTGTCGTTTAAAGATTAAAATGAAACTGCAACAAAACTGTGGGTTTTCCAAATAAACCAATTATTAGACGTATTTATTTGTAGTTTTAAGATCATGGAAGTTCTACAATTGAACAACGGTTTGTTTGCTGTGAACTTAAATCTACAAAATCGTGTTTGCAGAGTCTTCGATTTTGCCCGACACACTCTGAGGAGGCCGCGAAAAACTGAGAGTAGAGCCTTCCTTATTTCGGAGATACATTTTGAATGTTAGTTATACTAATTATCGATATAGATGTACGAATTCGTGGTCTCCTGCTGTTGTTATCGATGACAGGGATTCTTTAAAACTAATCAATTATAATTCTCTTTAGTTACTATTTTCATATCTATCATGGTAATATTTTTGGTGAAGATTTAACCTTTTATTTACTTTATTTTTTTGCTGTCCTAGCGCCTATTTGTTCAGTAAAGTTATTGGCAATAGCAACAATACAAACAATCATGATCGTTAATATGAAGCTTGGAGATCCGAACACGAAATGAAACAAAGTTTATAGCACAGATCCTGCACGTGAACTTCACAATATTATGAACTGGTTCCAAAATGCCAAAATGGACGATTGTCCGCCTCGCTTTTTTGTTTGAGTGGTGGAGATGGGCGGGGGAAGGGGGCAAACATACCCCCTCCCCAATTTTTTACATTTGAACTTTTTAAAAAGCGATAAATTTCTTCTTTATACTAAGTATTAAATACAAAGAATTCATAATTTTAATGAATTAATTTTACAAATTTCATTTGTCGTGGGCTCACGTCAGAAAATTCCGGGAAATCTTTTTTCGCCGTCTGGTTCATTCCAGTAGCGTAGGAAGCGGGGGTGGGGCAGGCAGCGGTGGCAGTTGTTTTTGACAACTTCCTACGCCAGATATAGCCTTCCATGGGTTTCTCTTTTCGAAGTCTAAACTTACTTTCCATATCGTGTAATACCAATGTGTAAGCTATAACAGGGTATGTTTACAATGTGATGTTGTGATGTCTCGCTACCCATCACATATTATAGTGTCTAAGATAACGCTAAGGTACATTTATTTCTCCGTGCTTAAAGAGAAGATGAACTCGAAACAAAGAATTGAAAAATACTAGAATCGACCGGGCACCACCAGGCAAATAAGTATATTAAATCTGCAATGTCGGATCCGTCGAGTTTAATTTTACTTGATTTAGAGACTGTTATTTTCTTTACGTTTTCTGTTGTTGTAGGTTTACACTGACCACAGACTGTGCTTGTTTAAACCAGAGACGTATATATCACATGTGTTATATATGTCTCTGTTTAAACTGACCAGATACCTATTTGTGAATATTTGGCTGTATGTTTAAGCTTCCTTGAAACATATTTTTTGAAATTTGAGCACTTAGTAGTTTTATCAAAATTTACATTATTTCCGGTATGTGGGTGTTGGTAAACCCCTATCCTTCTAAAATTAGAAAAATGATTAATTTCAGGATTTTGTAGCATTGATTATAGGTTTAAAAACAATTCGCGTACGAGCATAGAATATATATTTCTGGTATGAGAGATACACAGAATTGAATTAAAACCAGGTTCCTGCTAAAACAGAATGACTGTCAAGACAAGGAATCCTATTTAGATATCACAAGGTGACCTAGCCATATAATAGCCTTGTACTGACTATACTTGGTCAACCCGGATCCAAATTAGACTTAGATCACCAATGCACACCGAAATTGTTCGCCTTGAATATCGCTTGATTGTAAAAAGATACGCGCGTGTATTTCTTCGGGAATTAAGTGTTTAAAGTTTACAAGGACGTGCAGCGTGTGTGTTAACTTAATTTCACAAGGACTATAAATAACTGGTGAGCAATTTCCTGTGACACCGTCGGGATCTTTTTGTTACGGAAGTGTGCTGAAAACCTGGAAGTTCAGTTTTGAATTTGCATATTTTTGTAAGTTCTGTATATGCAAAAATTATGGCAGCTATTGTTTGCGTAAGTTTGATCAGCAATAACAGTATTCCCATTATGGTGCAAAGTCAAATGGACAGCAAACCGCTGAACTTGTGCAAACAACAACCGAGCAACAACCCCGACGACCCTCAACGCGTCAAACAGACACTGAAGACACTTATCCAGTCCAGACGTCTGGCTGAGGGAAAGGATGCCATAACTATAGATTTTGATAAGCGACAGTCTGATGATGATCTTAAGGTAAAAGACAACATTTTTTATATAATTGTGTGGACACATAAATCCTGTTGATATGGACTATGATAAGGGGAGGTAATTTTTGCATATGGCGGGTGGCTCTATTTTTAGACATTCTGAAATTACATATACATCTTTTGTTCAAAAAAGATCATTTGCGATGTTGATATTTTTACACAGCATGTTTGATTTTGAAAATTGAAATTAAACAGTAGGTGGTGTAGGCATTGTTGTCGTTATAAATAGCAATTGTGGTAGTTTGGGACATGTTCATTCAAAGCGACTTTATCTAGGTCATCTGTGCGTTGTTGTTCCACGAAGCAGGAGTTCTAAAAATAGTAATACAAAGTTGATGCAATCTGATATTTTTCAATCTTTAAGTTCCCGTCTCATTCATCAAATTCAAAGATAATCATATAATTATAAGTTGATATTTTGATACTAGAAACTTTTCTTTAAATGATTGTTTAAAGAACTGTCGGTAGAATTGCTGAAGTATAGTTCACACTCCTTCTGTTCAGTAAGTGTGTACTAGTGTTATACAAGTATTTAAATATTGCATATAGGCACGTGTTGATTAGGGGATGCAAAATTTTAATGATATATTTAATTAATCTCATGTATAAATGTTGTCCATATACTAGAAACCAAAATTCAACATCATATCAATTTCTTTTTTATGTGTGTTTTCAAGTGTTAACATGCAGTTATGCATCATTCAATTTGCTTTACCTGCAAAGTATTTTGTTGAGTATGAGAAATTTTATAATTTTGTTTATTTATGGTTAAAGTTTCAACTATCATGAAAGGAAATGTACATTACAAGGCAAAGGATAAAAAGAGCTCTCTCTCTCATTTTTTATCATCCATTTTGGTTTTGTTTTTAACAAGCATCAGAATCAGAAAGAGAAGAATTGTTTGTGGTAGCTGAATGAAGTTAGTAATAGATTAATAGAATCTTGTTCATTATGATCATACATGCATTCATAAACAAACTTTATTACATTAATTAGAAATTTCATTTACAAATGGAAAAAAAAGAGGAAAACAACTTTTATCCTGTAACTGATGTTAATGTTGCCATTGTTGGAAAACACCTTCCACATTATATGTTCAGCAGTGACAGATAAAAGCTGTATTTTAGCATGTGCATTAATATGACAAAAGTAATTTCTGAATTTTTAAAGAACAAGTTTATTTACAAAAGTTCATAAAATTGCTGTTATATACGTTGAAATTTGGAATTATATTTCTGCACAGAGCAATGTATTTGGTGTATGTATATAACATCTGGCAAAATTCAGCAGAATATTAATGTCAGGTAAACAGGATTGAACAACAAACTGTCAGAAGTCTGAACTTCTATCAATGCTGCAGCATAAATAGCTATAATATGAGGTCAGCTTCTTATAGAAGCTGCATGTGGCTTGCACTGGGACAGAGAGGCAAGTGGCTTTCCAGAGGTTTGCCATGCTTGTCTTTCTTAATCTTGACAAAATACAACTTACAGTGCAAGGCCCTGACCTTGACATATTCTCTATATATGTACTGAAAAATGAAAAGAATGTTTACCAATTCTATATCAGATTAATATTGCAATGATGTGGTTAATATCAAGTTAAAGGAAACTGATAACAAAGGACCAAATTTATATCAACTTTTATGCTGGAATCTTGATTTCTGTGCTACTTTGATAGCCTCCATTCAAAATTGATTTTACTCATTGTTTAAACACCTGTTAATTTCTATAATTATACAGCTAACTCCAGAAGAATTGGCCCGTCAGAAAGACAGGAAGGAGCAAAATCGCCGAGCTGCTCAAAAATGCCGACAAAAGAAGCGACATCAGTTACAAACATTACTTGAGGTATCCACTTGTAGAACTTGTCAGAACTATCTAGATTTTTCCCTAGTGATGTGTAAACCTCAGATTGTTCCAATAGATTTTCTGTACTATTCAGTCTTTATCAAAGTGGTCTGGAAAATGACTGATTTTCTTTCAGATACAAGTAAATTAAGTGGCGTGATTTGTAGTATAATACACACACCAGATAAAAATCTGCCTATTTTCCAAGCTTGTGAAATGAAGTTAAACACATCTCTCTTGTCTCCTGATGACTCCCCAATCTTTCCCTTAAAGAATTGGTTTCTTTTTCAAACTAGTGTCTCCTGTATTGAATTGTACTACTAAGCTAGGTTGATGATCAAATCCAGTTCATATGAAAATTAAATGTGGTTAAGACAATCTCATCTTCACAGTTGAAAATAAAACAATTACTGATGGTTTTTCACATTAATAGTTCTGCTATCAATTTCTTTTTCAAATCAGAGAATGAATTTTGTTTATGATACTTAAAGTGATAAAAACACACCAACCAGTAAATGTTAATGGTATTACATACAAATGTATACATAAAAAAGTACTCTGATAGTTTAAAAGAGATTAAAAGAGTAGTGAATATAATCATACTGAAGTGTGTCGTACTGTTTCACTATATCAATGTTTTCAGATAAAATCAATATTCTTTGTAAGTTAAAATGGCATCTTAAGTTGTGGGAATATCCTGTTTTTTGTCTCAAATATTCAATTGACATACATATACCTAAGTATAAGGTGTAACTTATGAATTTATCTCACATTTCAGGAGGAAGAGGAACTTTTGGTAAGGCGGGGTCATTTAGAAGCAAAATATCAGAAACTGAACAGTGAAAAAGAGAAGTTATTGAACACTATTAGGTCCAATGGTCAGTACACCTGTCAGCCTTCAGACAGCAGAACAGAAACTTCTGGGAAGGAAGATGACAAAAATAGTCAATCTGCTCGAGTTGCTGAGGACAATGCTGGTCATGTTGTTTGGAGTCTCTTGAACAAAACCACCAAGAATCCTAAACACTACTATATCCAAAAATACCAAAAAGATCAGCTGTCAGAAACTGCAAGTGACAAGTCTCGGTATGATAGCGGCCAGATCTCTGCATCAGACTCCGACAGTCAGTCTAGTTGTTCTACAGCTTTCTCAACATCATCAACTGCATCAGGCGCAAAACAAGAACTTAATGCTTGTGGATACTCTAGACATTCACTTCCTATTTCAGGAGGTGAGAGAAAATCTGATGACGATAATTCACCAGGGCAAACTTCACCTGTAGACTTCTCCAGAAAAAATCTAAGTTCTTTAATCAAGGGTTGTGTGTTAGAATCTAAAAACAGAGACAGTTTGCAAGGGTTAGAGGACAACACCTTAGACAGTTCACAAGAAAAAACATTATCAAATGTCTCAGACATGGAAGTGTCAAACACCTATAATTCTCATGAACTCTCTAGCTCACAGGAGCTGTTTAGTTCACAGGAACTGTCTAGTTCACAATCTGACCTACCCAGCTCACAAGAGTCAACAAACTCTTACTACAGACACCAGAAATCATTTATTGACATTGGAGAATGTGGTGAAGACTTTGAGGATAATAGTGATGAGGAAGATATTTTAATTATTGATGAAACAGATAGTCCGTCAGAATTTAAACAAAAAAGTTTTTCAAGTCAAATTTTTAATAGCATAAAGGTGACTTGCACTTAGATTGTCATGGACAATCATTTGTTAAAAGGAAAGATTCATGAAGTTTTAGGACTGTTAGAATATGGAAAACACCTTTTATTTAGTGTATTATAAAGGCAATTACTTTGTTATGAGAAGGTCTCTAATTAGGTTGACACTGTAAACATACTAATGTCAGTGTAAACTTTATTTTAACATTTTACAATAACAGAGTTGGGTTACTGATATGCTAATAATGTATAAATGCAATGCTTACAAAGTCTTCCCTGAACACCCTTCTTCCTGGCCTTAAACTTTTCTCTGATCACCTTTCATCCCAACCTGTTTTAATAGTTTTTGTAGGGTTCTTTAAAATGTTAATGGGTCTAATTATTACAAAATAGCAAAGGATGAAAATATGGGTATATCCCAAAGAAAAGTTTGAGTTTGGATCTTAAGTGTCTATATTCCACAACTCTGCTATGTTTCAGCCAAATCAGTTTTTATAGGTTTTAAATTTAAAAAAAAAAAAACATCCTGGGGAGACTTTTATAGTAAGGGTTAAAGTCAAACCATGATTGACTACCACTATCGAATACTCACTGTAAATCAGGGATTTCAACCTTAGAGATGACATATTCTTAACTGAATTCAACTCGTCTTTATTCAGTAAAATTGACTCGCAAGAGCAGTGATCATGATCAAAACATGTGAACCTGTGTGGTATTTTCCTGTCAATAACATACCTAGAAACAGTGACTCCACTGGAGTGTAGGTCATTGTAAGTTAGTTTGTTGAAACAGTGACTCCACTGGAGTGTAGGCCATTGTAAGTTAGTTTGTTTATAGAAACAGTGACTCCACTGGAGTGTAGGCCATTGTAAGTTAGTTTGTTGAAACAGTGACTCCACTGGAGTGTAGGCCATTGTAAGTTAGTTTGTTTATAGAAACAGTGACTCCACTGGAGTGTAGGCCATTGTAAGTTAGTTTGTTGAAACAGTGACTCCACTGGAGTGTAGGCCATTGTAAGTTAGTTTGTTTATAGAAACAGTGACTCCACTGGAGTGTAGGCCATTGTAAGTTAGTTTGTTTATAGAAACAGTGACTCCACTGGCGTGTAGGCCATTGTGAGGTAGTTTTGATGCTGCTATTTCACACCGACTTACATTGAAAATTAAATGATTGCACTGATGTAAGTATGTTTACAGTAATAACCTTGGCACAAATTTTTGTTTCCAGCAAATGTAAATTCTATAGACTTATGGTAAAGTAATCTGTTTATTTTTCTTCTTTTTTTCATTCTAATGAAGTGTAGAGAAAGGTAATGACATTTTGATTGGAAACATGTCAAACAGATTCCTTTTGAAATATCTGTTAGGTTTACCGGAATGAGACCAAATTTTGTCACCGCTACAGTCAGTGTGACACCAAGAAAAGACAAACTATCATTTTAGGTAAAGGTGAAGTTTACAATTTTATTTTTCCTGTAAAAATTTAAATTGAAGATGTTCAACAAGAAATACACTTAAGGCAGCTGACTGCATAGATATTTGGTGGCTGACAACTAATCGGGTTGTGAACATCTACATGTAAGAGTTATTTAGAATTTCCACCACCACCTGTACATAAAGTGGGTAGGAAGACCTCCACTGTCATCTGTTTAAAGGGTGAGTATGAAGATATTCTCGCTATTGGCTGTATATAGGGTGAGTACCAATATATCCATTGTCAACGATGTACAAGGTGTGAATGAAGATCTCCACAGTCGGCCTTATACAGAGTGAGTATGAAGATATCCACTGTCGCCTGTATACAGGGTATGACTGAAGATCTCCATTGTCCTCTGTATACAGGGTGAGTATTATGATCTGTACTTCCTCCTATGTACAGGATGAGTATGAAGTTCTCAACTGTTGGCAGTATTCAGGGTGAGTATAAAGATGTCCATTGTTATATTTGTACAGTAGTGAGTGTGATCTCTGTCAACTGTATATAATATAGATATGAAGATCTCCACTGTCCATTGTGAACAGGGTCAGTAGGAAGATCACTGTCGACTGTGTATAGGATGATTTCCACTGTTCCCAGTATACAGAAGAGTATGAAGGTATTCACTACAGGATGAATATGAAGATCCTTACTATTTCGGTTATGCTGGATGAGTATGAAAGTTTTCACTATAAACACTGTTTACCTGTTGGATATAGACAGAAAGTGTATTACACATGTCTACTCACAGATGTCAACACAGAATGTTAACACAATGATTACAGGTAACTTGCAGAGATGACATCATGAGATGCAGAGTTTTACCACATTTTCTTCGTGTTTTGGTCAATTACCTCTTTTCTTCACATATCGCATGCATGTGAATGTTAACAAGTTTTACTTTAATTGCTTTCCTTATTGTTGAAGGTGTCATGAAAAAAACACCCTTTTCAAGTTTTGGTTCCTTCCAATGAGTTATGAATTATAGGCATAAAACCCACAAGAATTTCATCAATCCATAACTGCTCCCCTGAAATTCACTCAGATTTTCTACACAAATACTGAAAGTTTATGCTATGATGTTATATGATTTTAGTATTTTGATGAAGCTGATGCAGTGTTATATCAGTCAAAGAAAAGGACGATATCGTTTTCTTTGGTCGATAAAATTATGTATCTATCAAAGGTTGTAATAGTTGAATTATAAAATGATGCATGTACTTTGATCTCATTTCCTTGTAAAAATTACAATACCTGTTTATCGCTCAAGTTTTGAAAATTCTGACAAAATGTCTGAATGATGTAAGATATTGGTGGAAGACTTGCACAGTGATTTTTCTTATCCTTTTGGTATTATCTAACAGCATGGCATTGTTTACAATGGTGTCTTTTCATTGTTGTTTTCATGCAGAGTAAAGATGGTCGAAACATGTTTCATTGGAAAATCAAGATTTATTAGAAGAATTAATAGCTAGTAAGATTTTGATCAATATATACGACAGAAAGTGTGTAAAAGATAAGGTTTGAATCACCTTCACATCCAGGGGTTATTATTTGTTGAAGAGGTCTAAATGTGAATATTTTTTTTTTATTTCTCTTGTTTCATCGTTACATTTTTTTGTAATCTATCATACTATCCTCGTTTCATCGCTGGGCACATGATTTTTTCTGTCAAAACTTTGTTACTCTTCTGTTTCTGTTTTTATTTGCTACCATTTGATAGCATCGTTGATCATTATTGCATTCTATATAATGGTCGAAAATCATACACCTCATTACGTACATTCAAAAATAGGGCAATGGCACACTCACTTCACTCATATTGATATGGCAAAAGTGCAACCAATACATTCATATCGTTCATAATCACACAGTATAAACATGCCCAATACATTCATATTTTGGTGCTGACACGCCCAATAAATTGATATTTACATAGCATTGACACAGTTTGATCCAATACCTTCATACCAACAATTTAATGGGATGTTGTTTTATCTTGTTGGCTTTCTGATTGCTAACAGTGAAGACTGATACAATTGTCAGGCTGGACATTAACAGGATACAAATTTATCACGGCTGTTATTGAGAAATGCATTGAAAGTGAAAGTAATTGGGAATGATTATAATATGATGTCTATATCCTTATCTTTGAGACTAATGATGTTTGAATGATGATGAATCCGTCTTGCTTCATTATTAAGGTTAATTATCCTTTGTAATAGATATGTGATTGGTCAAACGTCTATAGAATACTCTAGTTATTGTAAATCAATATAAGTTGTATTTTTTCAGTGTACTCACTGTATATATTTACATTTTAATATTTTGTTATCTTATCTGTATATTCTTACTATATTCTTCATTTCTTTTTACCTATAGCCACAAACTGGAAAATATGAGCAGCATCTTTAAGAAACACGGATTATTCTGTTCTTATTATACATGTATTTAGATTCACAATTTACTAGTCACTTAGAAATATGATTAATATAAATTAAATGTCTATTGGAATTATGATAATATTTTGCAGAGGACATTAGCAGCAAAGAGTGCTTAGCATTTGAAATTATGTGTACACAAAAATTAGTGAAACGGATAAAAATAGTATCAAATCAAAACAATTCCCCGATATTGTATATACATGTGAAACATTTTTTACAGAGGATCGGATCATCGCTGTTCCACTGACGCTGTTATTTATCTCTGAACTTTGCTGTGATACATTTGCATGGTGCTTTAAACTTTTCTGAACTCAAGTGATGCGCAACGCTGACATCATATAAGGTACTCTTTGCTTGTAATTGAGAAATAATGCACACCATGTAGATATTTGAATATAGGTGTAAATAGCTACGGTCCTTGATGCCTTGTTACAGTTAATTTGTCAGTGCTTTGTTTGGCAGTTAGGTTTTGATTTTGATTGTTGGTTTACATTCCAAGAGTTTTGGGCAATATCAGAATAAGTGGACAAGAGGACACCAAGTGTTTATAATATTTCAGGTATTTTTGCATTTAGATTATTTGCCTTTACACGTATTTAGAACCAATGCAGCAGGCATATTGCTATGATACTTCGTGGAAACTGAATTGTATATATTTCAAGTGAATCAATATATATTGAAATGATTGGTCTTTTGCAGTTTGCAGATCACAACAAGTACATTTGTAATCATTCACTTATATCATTATTTTTCTTTCTTGTTACATGAGAGTGATAGCAAGGATAATGCAGTATTTTTTTTTCAGGTCAGCGTTTGATGTAACAGAATTTGGTTCCAACATAAATCACTTGATAAGAGTGTATATGTCTATGACCCATTCCTTTTTTAGAACACGCTCAGTAGTCCTTTTGAATGTTAACATTTGTATACCCATGGCGTTTTTTTTGAGGCAGCACTAGTTAAAGTATGGAATTTTATATATGGATTTTTTAAGCGTTAATTGTGTATGACAATTTCAATTCTTCATGTTTCATATAAAACTAAATTGATGACGGTCGCAGCTGATGTTTAATGCTATAACCTGCTGGAAATTGCATTAAAAAAAATAAATGTCATTTCAAAAGGGTTTTACACGATCTCAAATTCAGCTGAGTGTTTTATATAAAGGAAATGGATTGTAGTAAGACATAACACAACTAATTGTCTACAGCATAGGAAAGAC